ATTCCCCAACCTTTCTAAATCAACTTCCTGAACAAATTTTTAAAAATAGAACATTCGTCCAACTCAGAGGGAAAAGACAGAGCTACTATGCACAGAGGTGATGCCCTTTGGGCTTAACCACTCTGCATCTGGGGAGATTCAAACTTCAGTTCATTCTTGAACTACACCACCAATGCTAGTGATCCTAGTAGCAAGAATAATTGTCCCTAAACAATTTATGTAATTCTACCTTATTTTTGTTAGAAACTCATCTTCTCTTATCTTCCTGAACACACCCATAGTTTACTATGGCAAGCATATTCTCATTGTAGTAGCCATTTCTTTTTATTCATTTATTTTATTATTATTATTATTATTTATATATTCAATTGCTATACATCATTTAGATTGTAAAGAGACTTTACCCTGCGAGATGTACACCTCAGTCCAGCCCAGCTGAGAATACTATACATGTCATCATCAACAGGTAATAAACCATATCTGTATCCCACAAATGTCTTTTCTCTCTATTTTCCCCCCAAATTTCCTTTCCTACACTCTTCCCCTCTTCCACTCTCCTTCCACTTTGTCCCTAGTGTCTATAACAAGTTTCAATGTTTTATGTCCTCCAGTCTTTCAGTCTCTAACATAGAGTGCAGTTAGTATATGTTAACTGAGACATACAGTATCTCTGTTTCACAGCCTGACTTGCTTCACTCAGCAATAATCTTCCATATTCGTCCACTTTCTTTTTTTTGTGTGTGTGTAGAGATTTTTGCTATAGGGCACGTGTGCTCGCCAGACAGAGAGAGAAAGAGAGACAGAAAGCGAGAAATCACCCCCAAGGGGGGATGGCCACACTGCAATCCCTTCTCCTCCATTCTCCTCTCGGAATCTTGGGCACGCATGCACACGTGCCTGGCATGAGTTTTAAGCCACCGGGTCCGGGACGCAAACCGCGGTCAACTACGTGGGAGTCCAGTGACATAGCCATTACGCTAACTGCTGGTCCTGATATTCGTCCACTTTCTATCAAATACCAGGGACTTGGTTTTTTTATGGCTGAATAGTATTCCATGGAGTATATGCGCCACACTTTTTCAATCCATTCATCAGTTGTGGACATTTGAGTTGGTTCCATGTCTTAGCAATCATGAGTAATGTTGCAATAAATAATAGATGTGTAAGCGCTTTTCCAACTGAGTGTTCTCCTGTCCTTTGGATATATACTCAGGAGTGGAATTGTTGGATCATATGATAGTTCTATTTGAAGATTTTTGAGGAACCTCCATCTTGTTCTCCACAATGGTTGGACCAATTTACATTCCCACTAACAATGTAGGAGAGTTCCCCTTTCACCACATTCCCACCAGCACTTATCATTTTTTGTGTTTTTAATCTTCACCATTCTGACTGGAGTTAGGTGTTATCTCATAGTTTTGATCTGCATCTCCCTTATGATGAAGAATATTGAGCATTTTTTCATATACTTTTTGGCTGCTCATATGTCTTCCTTAGAGATTTGTTTATTCAGTTCATTTTCCCATTTTTAAAATGGGCTAATAATTTTCTCCTGAGTAAGCATCTTGAGTTTTCTATGCATTCTGGTTATGAGTCCCTTATCTGAGACATAGTTTCCAAAAATATTCTCCCATTCCAGGACCAGCAGTTAGCATAATGGCTATGTCGCTGGACTCCTATGTAGTTGACCACAGTTCGAGTCCCAGACCCAGTGGCTTAAACTCACGCCAGGCGCGTGTGCGTGCATGCCCAAGATCCCGAGAGGGGAATGGAGGAGAAGGGATTGTGGCATGGCCATCCCCCCTGGGGGGTGATTTCTAGCTTTCTATCTCTCTGTCTCTTTCTGTCTGTCTGGCGAGCGCATGCACCCTATAGCAAAAAACCTCTCTAAAAAAAAAAGAAAAAAAAAAACCATTCTTCCATTCCAAGGGTTGTCAATTCACACAAATTACTGTGTCCTTTGCTGTGCAGAAACTTCTTAATATGCTGTAATCCCACTTGTCTATTTTGCCTGTTTTTTGAGGATCTTGCTTAAGAAGTCTTTGCCTACTCAAATGCCACCCAGAGTTTCCCCAGTGTTTTCCACTGGTAATTTTATAGTTTGAGGTCTTATATTTAGATCTTTGATCCACTTTGAGTTTACTTTTGTTAATGGTGATAGAGAGGTGTTCAGATTCATCTTTCTGCAGATGGATACTCAGTTTTTCCAACACCATTTACTAAAGATGTTTTTCTTTTCCCACTGGATTGACTGGTACCCTTTATCAAAGATCAGTTGGCTGTATGTTTTGAGGTTTATTTCTGGGGTCTCTACTCTGTTCCATTGGTCCTCATGTCTTTTTTTGTGCCAGTACCACGCTGTTTTGACTATTACAATTTTGTAATATATTTTGGGGTCAGGAAGTGAGATGCCACCCACTCCACTCTTTTTGCATAGGATTGAATTGACAATATAGGGTCTTTTATGATTCCAGATATGATTGTCTTTTCTAGATCTGTGAAGGACATCTCGTAATTTTAGAGAGATTGCATCAAGTATGTAGATTAATTTGGGTACAATTGCCATTTTGATTATATTAATTCTCCCAATCCAGGAACTTGGAATGTCCTTTCACTTCTTTGTGTTGTTTTCAATATCTTTTTTGAAGATTTTCATAGTTTTCCTTATAGAAATCTTTGACTTTCTTGGTTACTTTTATTCCTAGGTACCTTATACTTTTTGCAGCTATGGTAAACGGGATTACTTTCTTTAGTTCTGCCTCTGTCTGCTTGTTGTCTGTATATAGAAATGCTATAGTTGTTTATAAGTTAATTTTGTATCCTGCCATTTACTGCACACATTTATTACTTCAAGAATTTTTTCTGTAGATACTACTGGGTCTTCTATGAATACAATCATGTCATCTGCAAACAGAGATAATCTCAACTCTTCTTTCCCTTATATCATTTTCTTGTCTGATTGCACTGGCTAGGACTTCCAGTACTATATTGAATAGGAGTAGACAGAGTAGGCAGCCTTCTCGGTTTTCAGTATAGTGTTAGCTATAGGTTTCTCATAGATAGCTTTTTATTATGCTGAGAAATGATCCTTATATGCTGATTTTACTGAGAGTCTTAATCATTAAAGAATGTTTTATTTTGTCAAATGCTTTTCCTGCATCAATTGGAATGATCATTATGGGTTTTATCTTTCTTTTCATATAGTATATTACATTTATCATTTTACATATGTTGAACCACCCTTACATCCCTGGAATAAAGCCTACCTTGTAGTGATGAATAATCTTTTTGATATGCTGTTGGATACGGTTTGCAATAATCTTGTTGAGATTTTTTTCATCTATATTCATCAGAGTTAAGGTCTATAATTTTCCTTTTCGGTCCTATCCTTATCTGTTTGGGGAATGAGGGTGATGGAAGCTTCATAAAAGGAATTTGGAAAAGTTCTTTCCTTTTAGATCTCTAGAAACAGTTGCCTCTTCTTTAAAATTTTGTAAAATGCAGTAGTAAAGCCATCAGGGCCTGGAATTTTCTTTGCTGGGAGGTTATTTATTACTGATTCAATTTCATTGCTTGTTATGGTCTATTCAGGCTTTCTATGTCTCCTGAGTCAATCTTGGTAGATTATATTCCCAGAAATTTGTCCATCTCACCCAGGTTTTCTTGCTTATTGGTGTGTAGTCACTCATAGTATCCTCTAGTAATATCTTGTATTTCTATTATGTCTGTGGTAATAGTGCCTGTTTCACTGAGAATTTGATTTATCTTGTTCTTTTCTCTCTTCTTTTTAATTATTCTAGCTAATGATCCGTCAATCTTGTTTATCTTTTCAAAAAACCAGTTTGTGCTTTCATTCATTTTCTGTATAGTTGATTTATTTTCTATTTCATTTATTTCTGCTTGAATCTTTATTATTTATTTTCTTCTGGCATTTTTAGGATATTTTGTTCTTGTTTTTCCAATTCCCTGAGGCATGATGTTAGGTTGTTCTTTTGCCAGCTTTCCATCTTTTTCTTATGCACACTAATTGCTATGAACTTACCTCTTATGACTGCTTTTGCAGTGTCCCATGAATTATGGAAACTCATGCACACATTATCATTTATTTCCATGAATCTTTTTATTTCATTCTTAATATCTTCAGTAGCCATGAAGCCATTCAGAAGTAGGTTAGAAAAGATAGAAAACAACAGGATAGAGAAGTGTTTTTGCCTATCTTACTAATGCCTATGGTCTGGAAGGGGGAGAGGTAGGCCTGGGGTTTCACAGCAGTAAAAGTTGACCCAGGGAAGGACAGGAGAGGCAGAGATGGAGATGCCTGCAACTATTCTGTCCTTACTAATGCCTATGGTCTGGAAGTGGGGGTACCCATGCTGGAATCCTCACAGTAGTTAAGGTGGACCCAAGGAGAGGCAGGAGAGGCAGAGATGGAGATGCCTGCAACTGTTCTATCCTTACTAATGCCTATGGTCTGGAAGGTGGGGTGCCCAGTCTGGTAGCTTCACAGCAGTAAGGTTGACCCAGGGAAGAGTAGGAGAGGCAGAGATCTGCAATAGCCATTTCTGAATTAATATTATCAATTATCTCTTATTCAGGTACTATCCTTGCATCATAAAAAACATGCCTCTGAGTTCCTGACACCAGAAGATATGAGATATAACAAAAAAAAAAAAGGGAAAGAAAGAAAGAAGAAAGAAAGAAAGAAAGAAAGAAAGAAAAAGAGAGAAAAATAAGAGGAAAGTGGCCAAAACATTTTTGTGAGTAGGAAATCAGAGCTTTATTATAACATGATGTCAGGAGGGAAAGAAATGCATGTTCAAACTGAGCCTTTGAGGAGCCCAACCCAACACAAAGTTACTCCCAGAAATCTCTATGAGTCTCTGTGACCCCTGCCAACCCATGAGTTGGGTAAGTTTGGTGAGAGAATGTGAAAAGAGGGAGCATCAGGCTGGAGTAGGTTCTTGATCATTCATTCCCCCAATAGCCCTTATAGGCACAGTTCAGCAGCAGCCCCCAGATCCATGGCAACAGCCAGAGCCTCCAGAGGGCTCACTCTCGCAGCAGTCAGAACTCTGGTGCCTGCGGCGCCGGTGGAAGATGTGGGGCCTGTGGTGGCTCAGGCAGCAGCCACCACCCCCAGAGCTGCAGCAGCCCCCAGAGCTGGAGCCACAGCAACCCCCAGAGCTGGGGCCACAGCAGGAAGAGACTGGAGGAGGACATGGGGCTGGGCACTGGGGTGGGCATTTGGGGGGACACTTTGGTGGACATTTTGGAGTGCACTTGGGGGTGCATTTGGGAGGAGGTTGACACTGCTGTTGGTTCTGCTGGCAGGACATCCTGGCAGATCAATCAACCTAGAAGGTAACAGTGAAATTCTAAGCATTCAGAAACACTGGTCAAGTTATGTCTTTCAAAATCGAAATGTATGTAGAAGAGGAACAATACTTAGATTATACATTGTGTCAGTAACCTGAAAAGACCTAACCTGAATATTTACTCCAGAAAAAAGTACACAGATTAATTAATCAATACAATCAACTTCATATTCTTTCTTTGGGGAGGAGTCTGGAAGTGTTCCATTCTCACAAGCCAGTATCAAGTGCCTGCAACCCCTGAAGGATTCATTTTACTACCCGAAGCATAAATTACAAAAGTACTACAGAGTGCTATGAATTTTTCTCAATGAGCACTCCAAATCAAAAGCCCTGATGTGAAACATGTCAATTTCCATGATGTAAGTATTCCCAACATGGCCGTTTTACGAATGTAAAGTTACTGAACAAAGAGTTTGGAAAGATGCCCACAGTAGGTTCCCCTAGCTCAGCTAAGGCAGCTGAAGCAAACCTCACACTTCAAAAAATTCATTAAGATTGAGTCTTATTTCTACTCAGAAGGCAGAAACCCAACATACAACTCTCCACGGTCTCCTTCCCATCATCTCCAACCTTATATCATACTCAGCCCCACTCTGGTCCTGGTTCCCACTTACCCTGGTCACACACAGGAGCACAGGTAGGTCCCTGGGAGTTAGAGCAGAAGAGACTGAGGTGCCGTAGCCAGTTCAGTCTTTTATAGGCCTGGGCTTAGCTCTGGGAAGGGCAGAATGTGGCTCTTGCACAACTAGGCATGGCTAGGTCATTGCTGACATTCCCCTGCATCTTTGTCCCTGCCTTCTAGGAAGTCTTGTGAATTCTAAGGAACCCCCACCCAAGGCCTGGGGCCTACAGGGCTTCTCCAGTCACACCCTTCCTTTAGGCTGGGTGCCTAAGGTGCTGCTTGGAGATTCTCAAGGAATGTATGTCTTGACAAAGCCTCAGGCAGAGACCGTTGAGGAGATGAGAGATCCATACTACACCTTCCTTGTGGAAGGGTTTAGCTCTTGCTTCTTTCATCTTCAAGGATGGTCTTCTGAGCCCTACTTTCATGGAGAGACTGGTCTCTCTGGAGCACTGGATCAGGGACCGTGTCCTTCTCAGGAAATAGGCACCCATCCTAGTCAGTCCTTCGTCTCTGACTTTAGGTCCCATGTAGACCACAGGTTACCACTAACAGGATTATTAGGTAGATAAGTATGACTTCCTCAGATTTGGTGGTGATGATGATGGTGGGTAAACTCTTGACTTAGGAGTAAAAATGTCCACTCTACTACAAGTCAGTTTTCACTATAAGGTAGTACTCTCTCAATCTGGAATCAGTAAAGCTGGGTTCAAATTTTAGCTCTTTATATATGAGCCAAGTGACCTTAACAGCTTTATTTAGATAATATAAATTCTCAACAATAAAATAGGCATTTAGTATTTTCTTCCCTAGATTGTTGGGACTATTAACTCATGAGAAGGCACAAGGAAATTCTTAAAGAATGTCAGTTTTTAAAAGAACATATGGCTGTCTAGGCACATTTTCCAGGCAGCATATGAGACAGATGCGGACTCAGTTCCTGTACTCAGAAATTTTATTTAAAGATGTAATTAGAGGGTGGCTCTGTGGCACAGTGGTAATGCACACTCAAAAGAGATTGGGTCCCACATGGAGATCATGCAACTAACCCCTGGCCCAGTCATCCTGAAACACACTGAGCACTCAGAGAAGTACCCAGAATCTGAGGGACCAGAGAGCTGGAGAAGGTGATCACAGAGTGACTGGGCCCTCTGGCAGGTACCCCTCTGTCTCTTTCTCTCTCTCCCTCTATCTTATTCTCTCTTACTCTCATATATGTGTGCACGTGCTCTATCATGAATAAATATAAAAACTTCTATAATGTAAGTAGGCTAGTGCACATCCTTTTCAGAATAAACATTATGCATTCGGGATTCTGATAAGCATTTTTATTTCTCATTAAAACAGTAATGGCAGTCAAATGGCTTATTTAACCTTGGTAATGAATAAGAAAAGAGTAAGGAATCTAACACAATTTTCAGTTAGATACATTCTTCTACTCATCAATACACTTTATTAATTGACCATTTACTGAGGGCCTACTATGTAGCATGAATTTTAAATACAGCTTTTGAAAAAGATATAGTTCCTTCCTTCATATACGTGTTGCCTAGAATGTAAGAGTATATCATTTTAAAAATTCTCTCCAACTAAAAGATATCCCATTTTCAATTTGGTTCTGTTTTAGGAATCCTTAATAATTTTCAGGTCAAAGTGTAAAATTCTGATATATAAAGACAGCAATTAATCAAAAATACATTATTGTATCATCTACCAGGTATTCAGTGCACATTTGTCAGAACAATTAGGTTTACAGAGGTAAATAACATGTACGTTGTGACTTCTGGGAACTCCCAATCCAGTGGACATTCTGAAGACCACGGTGAAATCCTTGTGGATAGAAGATGAGGCTTGGATCTGAGTGTTCTCTGAGTTGCTAATTCCTCAGGAGATTGTTGGGACTCTAGGTAATCTGACAATACCCTGGGTTATGTCATAAAGAGTTTCCTCATTCTCACTGACAAAGAAGATAGTAACCACAAAGGAAGAGAATGGGATGGGCGGTGCCTTCATGTATGTGGAATGGGTGTGTACCGCATGTGCATGAATGTACATTTGCAAGGCTAAGGGTAGCACAGAAGAGTTGAATAAAAGACTGCCAAGTTGTTGGGTGCCTTGTTCTTAGGAAGCCAGTCTCAGGAAATAAAATATTCTTCTGATTTTCCTTTTGTGATTTTATATGATCAATCACTGTTAGAGATCAGGCCCAGGACCTTTGGCATCAGTACATAAGAATTCTAGGTATTCTTGGACCCATGTCCACAGTCATTTTGTCTCCAGAGCATGAGTTGTCTAAACATTTGTTCTCTGGGACCAGCAGATGACGTAACGGTTACGTTACTGGACTCCCATGTAGTGGACCATGGTTTGAGTCCCAGGCCCAGTGGCTTAAACTCATTCTGGGTGCATGTGTGTGCGTGCCTAATATCCTGAGAGAAGAATGGAGATGAAGAAATTGTGGTGTGCCCTCACCCTGGGGTGAATTCTCACTTTCAATCTCTCTGTCTCTCTCTGTCTCTCCAGTGAGACTCTAGGTAATCTGACAATACCCTGGGTTATGTCATAAAGAGTTTCCTCATTCTCACTGACAAAGAAGATAGTAACCACAAAGGAAGAGAATGGGATGGGCGGTGCCTTCATGTATGTGGAATGGGTGTGTACCGCATGTGCATGAATGTACATTTGCAAGGCTAAGGGTAGCACAGAAGAGTTGAATAAAAGACTGCCAAGTTGTTGGGTGCCTTGTTCTTAGGAAGCCAGTCTCAGGAAATAAAATATTCTTCTGATTTTCCTTTTGTGATTTTATATGATCAATCACTGTTAGAGATCAGGCCCAGGACCTTTGGCATCAGTACATAAGAATTCTAGGTATTCTTGGACCCATGTCCACAGTCATTTTGTCTCCAGAGCATGAGTTGTCTAAACATTTGTTCTCTGGGACCAGCAGATGACGTAACGGTTACGTTACTGGACTCCCATGTAGTGGACCATGGTTTGAGTCCCAGGCCCAGTGGCTTAAACTCATTCTGGGTGCATGTGTGTGCGTGCCTAATATCCTGAGAGAAGACTGGAGATGAAGAAATTGTGGTGTGCCCTCACCCTGGGGTGAATTCTCACTTTCAATCTCTCTGTCTCTCTCTGTCTCTCCAGTGAGCACATGCACCCTATAGTAAAAATCTCCAAAAATAAATAAATAAATAAATAAATAAATGTTTGTTTTCCCAAAGAGTCTAATTATTGCCCATGGGTTATTGATTAATATGAATCAACGGATGAAAGAAATGTTATTAGAAAAATGATATGAGAGGGGTTTTTTTTATTATTATTTTTAGAGGTTTTTGCTATAGGGCATGTATGCTCGCCAGAAAGACAGAGAGAGACATAGAGACAGAAAGCGATAAATCACTGCCCATGGGGGATGGCCATACCACAATCCCTTCTCTTCCATTCTCCTCTCAGGCTCTTGGGCACACATGCAAATGTGCTCAGCATGAGTTTAAGCCACCAGGTCCAGGACTCGAACCACAATCAACTATATGGGAGTCCAGCAACATAGCCATTATGCCAACTGCTGGTCCCAATATGAAACTTATTTGAGATATTCCCTTTAGCTGATTCCCTTTTACTTAGGAAACCATTGACGTGAAGGTTGGTTCAGCCAAATGTCTTCTAAAATTGCAAAAGTTTTTGATAATCTCATACTAATTCTACCACAAAACTCAACTCCAAAACATGCTCTCTCTTTCTGGTACTACTTCTATTTATCAGGCCTAGGACCTTGCCAGCGCCATTCATTTACAAATTCTGTTTTCTGTAAGAAACAATGTATATTATAGTTTCTACCTAAAACACATCTTTTAGCTCATTACAACCACTCCTCCCTACTTAAAAGTCATAACTCTAGTCCTGAGCCACCCACTCACAAAACAGACTGGACAGTGAAAGTATGACCTACATTTCCCAGAAAGATATGGTGGTATACTGACCTGGGTCCCAGATTCATTGCCCGGTGGCTAGATTCTTACTGCCTAAGTAAATTCTGAGCACCAGAATCTGATGAGGAAGCCTGGAATCTCCACAGATTTTCAAGGACAGAAGAAAGAAGGAAACAATAATATCAGGAACAGCTATGTGTGCACTTTTTCTTCCCCCCTAGGGGGTACCTGTGCTCACCAGAGAGAGTGTGTGAGAGAGAATGTGAGAATGAAGCAGGGCAGTTTGAGGCTTAGAGGATTGCATCCATTCTGAAATTAAACAAAGGCCCATGACAAGAACAATCTAACATAAAGTGCTGAGTTATGGAGAGGTCTGTTTGAGGAACAACCAGATGAGAAACCAA